ATGAGCAAAAAAAAAAAAGGTATGGATCATTAGAGAGCTCCTAAAACAATAATGCTATCAGTTTGAATTAAAAAATTAAAAAGAAAAGTAAAAGATAGAAGTATTGTGTTTTGGAGGATTTACTTTTAATATTATTTTAATGTATATATATGAGTACTGGGTCGGCCGAGTCGGATTGTTCCTATTTTAATTGGATTATTATTTTTAGACTGAAAATAAAAAATAAAAAGACGTGAAATAAGAAAATACTACCATAAGTTGTATTTTTCGATTACTATAATTTTTGTGTGATTTAATAAAAGTTAAGTTTTGTATGAGAAAAACTATTTGTAAAATTTATCCCAAAAATAGCAGATAAAAATTTCTATCTTTTTAAAATAAAATGCGTTTGCTGGGTAATTAAAAAAGCTAGAGTACCCAGAATTTGGTGTATCAATATTAAACTAATTGCAGATCTCATCAAATTTTGCTTGGTCAATGTGTTCATTGGAAAGGTCATCATTACGTCCATTCACCATATAAGATCCGAATTCTGTTGATCAATATTATCATTCACGGTTGTGAGAGGCGGATCTAGAATTTTAAGTTTATGGGTTTCTGTACAAATCTTAAGTTAATATACAATAATAACTGGAATAATGAGTTGGGTTCCAAGCTAAATATTCTTATATATTTAATGAATTTTTCAATACAAATATCGAATTTAGACAAAGATTACTGGATTCACGGGAACCCGTATCTCTGAATCCGCCCCTGATAATTGTTTATTGAAGCATTTCATTGTAGCGTGTTATGCGTCATCACATTACAAATTCATTTCAAGTTTTTAAGGGTGTGTTGGGCATAAAGAAAAATACTTCCTAGAAAATATTTTCACGTCTGATTGAAAAATATTTTCCTAATAAAGTTATTTTTCTTCAATAATTTCCCTATTAAGGCCATCTCCAACCGTCACCCCCATATCCGCACCCTGACCCCCTAGACCTACCATCGTGCACCCCGATCTCAACCCACTCAGTCACAGCGGACTGTGACCCTCGAACCCCAACCCTTAACCATGGACCCTGATCCTGATCCCCAACCCCCAACCACGAATCCTGACCTCCAACCCTGGACCCCAACCTTGGAGTTCGACCTTCACTCTTGATTTCGACCTCGGACTCCGATCCCTTATCTCGGAGCTTGGATCTCTACACCCGACCTCGAACCTCAACCCTGATTTCTCGACCATGGACCCCGGACCTCGGATCCTTACTTCCCGACCTCAGACTCCAACCTCGGACCCCTCAATCAAATATGGCTTTTTGCATCTGATGAAAAAAGCGCAAATTTATTCGACCATAAAATTCAAAAGTCTCTTCCGTTTCGTTCTTAAATTTCGTATTCATTCAAACATGTTCACATGAAAGTGATATGGAGGCAGTAGTAATTTTCTGAATGTGCATAAAAAATTTAATTTTGTAGTGGCATCTTCATATGTTGCTGACAAAGAGGGAATGAAGCTCCATATAGCTGCTGAACGCTGTGCTCAGAAATGGTTGGCATATGACTTTTTGAATCTCATGCATTATTGGTACTTGTGGAGTCCGTTCTGGTCTTTAGAAAGACGGATTTTTTCGATCCTATTTGAGGACAAGCTTCGTGTATCAGGGAATTGTCTTCTCGAGTAGTATTAATTTTCAATGTGGACCGTGAATTTTCATTTGGATGATAATCTGACATATGCATGCAGAAACTCAAAGAGAATCATCTGGCCTTTTATATTTGTTCAAACAATGGGCCGGGTATATCTAAAGATTAGACTGATTCAATACCAACCAGCTGGAGCGGATTTGGACAAATCTGCAGGTTGGTTCCATCTAAATGAAACTGAATAAAATTCAACAATGTCATTTAGGACCCCATCTTAGATTTGTGCATGTGAATACGACATATTATGTGAAGAAATTTTGTAATAAGGTGACGCTTGGTTGAAAATTTACAAAAACTCAGTTTTTGAGTTCATCCAGAACATAAAATTTGCATATGCATGGAAGTTTGCTTACAAAAAAGAGTAAAATTTAAACAATCAGAGTTTGCAAAAACTCACAAAAAAGAAATTGCCGACTTGATTTCTGGACTAATATATAGCCCATAACTCAAACTGCTTCCTATCAAAGTAAAGTAATTACTACTACAATTTACCAATTCCTATGGAATTTCACCATAGCAACAACTTAGTCAAGTAATAGCTCTACAACTACGCGCTTTATTAGGAGCAAACAATGTTGGCTGAATAGTATTATTCACATAATCAGCCGACGTGTAAGATCAACAGAATGTGTAACATACCATACTACTATGTGTGACAAAATTTTGGGGATAGAGTTTGTAGCACGTTACGTTCAGATAATGGACAAGACTTGTAGCTTGCTGTGCCAAACCTATGGGAGACTAAAAGCACTATTTTCCTCAAAAATAACATTTTTGGAGATTTGAGGTGTTTGTCCAAAAACGAAAACTTGCAATGTATATATTCACATACCAAAACTTTGCGAGCTCCGAACCAAAGTGTGGTTCTTTTGGATAAAAGAGACCGAAATAGGTGGAAAAAAATTGGTAACCTTTCTATATATAACGTCCTTTTAAAGGGCGCTATACTTTAACGTTCGTTTTGTCCGTTAAGGCATAGCGCTGTAAATAACCGCGCTATACCCCGTGTTTGCATTTTAATGCATAGCGCGTTAAAAATATGGGCTATACATCTGTATGGTCAAGCCTCTTTTATTTAGTGTTCATTTACATTATTTCTTTTCAATTTCCTTCTCACATTATATCCTTCTCTTGCTTTTGAATCGTTCCAGTTATTCAGAAATAAATCTTTGTAAATAATTTTAGAAATAGAAAACATTGATTTTGATTAAAAAAGGGGGAAAAAGTCAAAATTTAATTTTACACTTTTGAAGACGAAGTACATTTGCTCTACGTTCGACCTTGGATTCAAAAATGCATTCTTGGTTGAAAACATTGATCACTTTTGCTCTTTTAGCCTGTTTGGCAAAATTTCTCTTTTTTCCTCAATTTTTTTTTTTTTAAGTTAAGATATTTGACCAAACTTTTACAATTTGTTTGGATGGTTGCTACCTATTGTATTGTTACTTTAAATACGATGTTTATTTTGATTGTTAATTAATTTTATTGTATCATTAAATCTGTTATTACGTAATGATGAAATGTGCCGCTTTACGTAATGATCTATTTGATGTGATCGCATTGTTACCTTGTGTTTTCTCTTAGTTCTTCCTTCACTATTATTAAATAATTCTATTTTATCATATACTCTATCTTTTTCTATAATAATTTACCCCGTATCATAATTTTTTTTATAATATTACAAATTTATTCTTCATATTGTTGGTGCGTGATATCATGAAACAACGGCATACGATACTATCTATTCAAACATTGTATTCATCAAATAATACAGTACAGTACAATACAATACAATGCATTATGAAATAATATGTAACAACCATCCAAACAAGCTGTTAGAAGGAACAAAAAAATACTTTTGAGTAGAAGCGGAAGAAATTTTTGATAAGTAAAAAAAAGCAGCTTCTTCCCAAATATACATTTTTTAAAATTATTTTTAAAAAATACACTTAGAAATAACTTTTTAAAACTAGGTCAAATACTAATTATTGCTCAAAAGTTATTTTAAATTAATTAGCACAAATTATTTATCATCAAAAGTATTTGTTTGAAAAATATTTTTAGAAAATTTAATTAAAGTAGAGAGAAAAGAACTAATGAAAATATAGAAGGAAATTGAAAAGAAAGAGAAGGATAAAAGGCGAGAAGGAAATTGAAAAGAAATAATAATGACCATGAACACTAAATGAAAGAGGCTTGACCGCACAGATGCATAGCGGATATTTTTAACGCGCTATGTATTAAAATGCAAATACTGGGTATAGCGCGGTTCTTTACAGCGCTATGCCTTAACGGACAAAATGGACTTTAAATTATAGCACTCTTTAAGTGTTATATATAGAAAGGTTACCAATTTTTTTTCCCACCTATTTCAGTTACTTATGTCCAAAAGAACCACACTTTGATTATGGACTCCTACTTCCCTAAATCGTAAAATGTGGGAGAACGTTATTGATGACGGATCCAGAGTCCAGACTCGATCTATAAATCTTTGCATAAATTGGGGGATCCTAGGATTATATTCCGATACTATACTGATGAAATTTGTAGTCGAGCCGTTTAGCTCAGTCGTTGTTCCCTTAAAAACTGACTTTCACGGACACAATCATGAGTTAAACATTATTTTAATTATAGTTAGGTACGACATTATATATTGTCAAAGAATGAGAGTTGAAATTTGATACGTGTCTTGAAAATAGAATCCAAACTGTAGTGACTGGTGCGGAAAAAGTCTTTAACATGAAATGATATATTGATTGATGTAGACAAAGCATTCCCGAAGAGTCCGGAACCAAAATGTGATTTTTTTTTACTCAAAATACGCAAATAAGTGTTAAAAAAAAGTTACCAACTATATATAACGCCACAAAAAGTGGCGCTATACAGTAACGGTAACTGCACCGTTACTGTATAGCGCCACTTTTTGTGGCGNNAAAGTAACCGGAAGATATCCGTATTCCGTTACTCAGAGTTTAACATCGACGATGATGACACTTTGAGTGATTTCCTGAGGACTCCGGACGAATGCCGGGAATTTCTTGTAATCACAATGTTGGAGATGTACGTGAAGGTCGAAGTCGTTCTAAAAAACGAGGTTGTGCGTAGTAGAGATAACCCCCAGTCATCGGGTGGTTATTCTGGATCAGTTTTTGCCGGACATGTTCCGGATGAAAGATTTTTTCTTGATTTAAATTTATCACCGCCGGCGAATGAGCAGCGAGAAAATAATTTATACCCTGCTTTCTATAATTCACAAGAAGAGTGGTAAACTTCAATTTTCATTTGTGTTAATTATGTATTTTTGGCGTATTGAATTAATTTTAACGCTCATTTATTTAATAGGGGGTACCGGCCGGATATGAATTTTACAAGTGGCCCATCCGGTAGTCATCACCTAACTGAAAACGTCCATCATGGAATGTCATCACATTACGACTTGTAAGTGAAATGATATAGCCATATATAAAGCATTATTGATTTAGTAGCTTATATTTTTGTTAAAATGTGCAGTGAAAACGAGCAAGTTGAACTACCCGTACTCACTCAATTGCCCGAAAACGACGTATTACATCAGGATCTGGCAGATGAACAGAGTGAGGAAGAGAACAGCGATTACGATAACAATGCCGATGAATCGGGAGACGAGACACCATTTGCTCGTGAGGATGGTGATGAAGAGGACGAGGAGGAAGGACCCGATTTGAAGAGAGCCCCCCATAGACGAAAAGTGAACGAGTCTGAAGTGCCGTTTCATTCAAGGGAGATTCCTTATATTGATAACTTGCCAGCCGTGCCGGATGTGGAAGCTCTCACAAGGGATTTTGATGAAATCCGGACAGCAATGTGGGATGAGTCTAGACCAACGGTGCTTGCAAAGGGGATGCTTTTTCCTGATAAAGCACGCGTAAGCAGGGCTTGTAAAATGCACAATGTTAAAGAGTGTCGTGAGATGCAGGTATCGGAGTCAAGTCCGACGGTATACAAGGCTATTTGCCGCAGGTGGTTTTGGCCATGTAATTGGATGTTGCGTGCGTCGAAGAAGAAGACAGGTATGTGGAAAGTGGGTAAATACATTCTCACCCACACATGCGAAATGGACACTTTCAACTGGAATTACTTCAACTTGGATATTGACTTGATATCTCTTGTACTTATTTTGCACATCGAAGCGTCCATAAGGTATAAAATCAAAGAGTGTATTACAGCAGTCCACCAGAAATATGGCCACACAATTACTAAAAGAAAGGCATATCTTGGGCGCAAAAGAGCGTTTGAAATAGTCTATGGTAACTGGGATAAGTCATTTGCGGATCTGCCTAGGTACATGGCTGCACTGCAGCACTTTAACCCCGGAACAGTTGTTGAATGGAAGCTTGAGCGGAGTCCGGGTAAACCAGAATATATATTCAATTACGTGTTCTGGGCGTTTAAGCCAGCAATTGATGGTTTTCCGTATTGCCGGCCCGTAATATCCATAGACGGAACTCATGTCTTTGGAAAGTACGATATCAAGCTATTGATAGCCGTGGCAGTGGATGCTAATGGACAAATATTTCCAGAGCCTTTGCTATTTGTGCCAATGAAAGCACAGAGACGTGGACAATGTTTTTGAACCACCTGAAAGAGCACGTTGTCAAACAGCGTTCAGGTATTTGTCTAATATCTGATCGGCACGGGGGTATATTAAGTTCTGTGGAGAACCTTCCTGCCTAGCAAGAACCTTATGCGTACCACCGTTACTGTGTGAGGTACTTTAAGGCCAATTTCAAGAAGGCACATCCCAAAAAGGATCTACATGATTTGATGTGGATGGCAGCAACAGACCACCAACAACATAAATTCCGGAGGCATATGGATTCTATCAGGCAAGAAGACGAGGCAACATATCGTTGGTTAATGCGACATGACCCTGAAAAGTGGACGTTGCATGCAGATGGTGGTAGACGCTGGGGAATTCTTACTACAAACGTGTCAGAATCCTTTAACGGGTTATTAAAGTCGGCAAGAGGATTGCCCGTCACAGCCATGGTGCGTATGTCGTTCAAGCAGATGGCGGAGAGGTTTGTGCAACGGTCTGCAGCTGCAACGGAATTGATGGAAAGGGGTGTTGAATTTATGCCGGTGCCTATGAAGAGATTAGAGAAATACAGACGGCGAGCACATTGGCATTCTTTTTTGCAATATGATAACGAACGAGGTATTTTTGAAGTTCGCACCGCTATCCATAATAATCGGGGTAATAATGTACATACTGTAAATGAATCTACAAGGTTATTCTCATGTGGGAAATGGTCAATCTACCATATGCCTTGTTCATATGCCATCAAGTGTTTTCAACGTGTTGGTTATGCGGAGACCAACTATATTGATCAACAATATAGTGTTTCCAAATAC